GTGTAGTTATGTCATTTTTCTCATTGACAGTTCCCTTGGTTTCGGGTTACCCAAACCTTTGTGTACTTAAAACAGGCAGACAAGTTTGTATTACAACAAAGGGTCATCTTAGCAAGAGAAGGGAATCTTGTAAGAATATAGGAAACAGTTTTGTATGCTAACTTGTCTGTCCCCAATACTACAGATTGTAATATACTTAGGAAAGATCCAAGCTGTCTCCTCAGTATGGGAGGGCTCTAAGTGCAAGCGATTCATGGTGCTGATTGATATGAACATGAAGTAGTTCTTCCCTCAGGCCAAGCTTTGAGGCACGATTGTGGGAACACACTAATTTGCGCAGCGGAGTGCTGAAAGCCCCCAGACTAGGAGTGACTGTTTAGGGAAAGTTTTGATCACTTTGTTTTGGCTGTACCTATGACTTTTTTTGTGAAAATAAAGTTTTTTTTAAATAAAACCCTGCTAGTCTCTGCCTTAGTGATTGTGCTGATTATCTGGTAGCATACTTGAAAGGAACATCTGTGGTACCCATGTAAATGTACATTTAACCCCTGTAGGAGAGGAAAAATGAAAACTGCCTTAAAAAAAGAAGTTACCCGGAGAAAGTAAGATTAAAGCTAAGGATACCTAGCCATGGTTCGTTCAGTTTAGCTTCTGTCAAATAATCTCCAAGTAGATGTTTTGGTGGCTGCAATATACAGTTGGGTGGCAAATGGATACAGTCTGGCCAGTGGATACTGCCTGGCCAATTTGATAACCGTATTTTTGTGGCCACTGAAACATCTGCTTGGAGATTACTGGTAAAGGTTTTAGGTGCTACTGCAGGTAACCTTGACCTGAAAGCAGTAGCCCCAGGCAGTAAAATGGTACACAAGCATACTCCCACTGGCCTAGAGTATAACCGGAGAGTACAAAAGAGACTTGGCATTTAAAATAGGCTTGGTAACCAGGCTATCAAACATCCATCTGCTTAGCCAATGAGTCCCTTCTGCCATGTCTGCACTGCTGGATTATGTAACCCAATCAGGGTTTAGCTTGTTGCAAATTTGGTTGTTTTCAATCTTTGCTAGGCAAAAGCTACACCTATTGGTTCAAATAATTCCTCAATTCATTCCCAGATACATGTACTTTTTATTATCTTTACCCTTCAGTAAACTTTGTGGTGCATAAACAAGAATTTCATTTACAAGGGTCGTGTGTACCAAATTTCATATCCAATAAAATCATTTTATGTTTGGAAATTTAAAAAAAAATCCATAACATTCAATGTACATTACCACCTCCAAGTTTCTTTCATCTATATATTTGAGCTTTCTGTTCAACGTATAGTCAGTTTCTATGACTGAAACTTTGCCTCTCATCACCACCTGGTAAAATGGTTCAGTTCATCTGTGTCAAAGAACAAAACTTTGTGATGAGTCATCTTACACAAGGTGGAGGATAAGTTATAAAGACCACCAGACCCAGACTGTTTATTCTCTTTTATATGACTTGCAACACATAAGGGACAAACAGACCAAAATTCTGGTAGGATCAACATCATGGGCTTGTTTCAATGTGGTGCCACACTACCAACTCAAGTGCAATACCACTATGCGCTGTATTGTGTTCCATATAGGATCCTCTTAGTGACAGTCTGTGCTTTTATCTTTATGTACCATCATGAACTCTTAACTTCAAACAATTACCATCCTGATACATTTAGAAGTAGGCTCAGTCCAACAGCAGAGGAACCAACAAATTAATTTTCAGGTAGATACATGTACATGGCATTCCTTGTTACTTTTGAATGGTGACCGAATTGTAGTATCACATTCACTGTTCTGAGTGCTGTTAATCTAACTAACAGCTGTGCTAGAAACTTCTCAAACATCAGGAAAATCTTGACAGAGAATTGAGTACAAAATTCTTTAATAATGCATCAAGGATTTTGATATCTTGCGACGTTAAGTTTTAGTACCACACTTAATCTATTTGTAGTCTTGATCCACAAAATACATCCGTGTACATCGTGCTAGTACAAAGTATTTCATCTTCGAAACTAAGCACAATGGCCTTGTAGCAAATACTAGTGGATGTGACATTGTAAATCATCTACATGTATCAAGCATGAAGTAAGATAGGAGATGATAAAAGTAAAGGCTTTAACAGGAAATAGCTTTCACCTGATGTGTAAATCTAACATGTCAATATGCTTCTGAAAACATACAGATTACAGAATAAACAAGCTTCAAGTTAGAAAGGCCACAATGGATTTATTGTCCAAACTTTGTGACCTTGACCTTGATAAAATTTGATAGTGCAAAGAAGCAGCTATGCAATATGGACACAAAATCTCAAGAAGTATACACTGGTACATTATTACATCTATCTGTATTGTATGTTTTTACTGTACATGTTCACTGTGCATAAAGCTTGGACTTCGATGAAGTACATTATACATTTGCATTTTGTACAGTTAAGTGGATACAGACTAGCCTGGAGCCCTGCCATGTCAGCTAAGAAGGCAAGATACAGAAAGGCCCTTTGGGAAAGCTGGACACAAAAGTATGTACTAGTAGTAATTGTACATAGTAGTGGTTCCTGTCAAAATACACACCACCAATATTTTTAATACAGATATTAGACTGCTAACCTTACACTACCAGACCCGGTACTCTCTAAATCCCATTCTTCTATGACTGTCTCAAACCTTCAGCATCATAATTTACAAAGACTTTGCTGGAAAAAGCTTCATTCTGAAGCCTTTTCAATTGCAATATCCAATATCCCTGACTTTGAGGGACCATATAATATTTGATTCCTTCGTTCTTCCATACTCCTCACTCTTCCTTTGTTGAGTTTTTCCTATCTTCCTTTGTAGCAGCCTATAAAATACTACTCCTCTGTACAATCCACCAGTTTTACAAAGATCCAGCAAAGTTTTAAGTGCTTCCATATAAGATCATCCCTGGAATGAAGGGTTGTGGCATTTGTTTTCCCCCCAATTTTCCATAATATGGCATACATACAGAAGTATTTACATGATTAAGTTTGGGAATATGAAACTCACTGATGGTTATGTGTCTTGGAGCATCAAGTTCATACAAAAAATGTGTGCTGAATTCCAGCGTTAGAAAATGGTCAGCAGGGCGAAGACGCCGTACAACAAGGCACAGGGATAGGCTACAAGCAGCTGCTGGTCATGCATGGCGAGGGCTGACACAAACAGCTTGGAGGCTGACAGGCTACACCAACCCACTGATAGTGTGGCTAAAATCTGGCCCAGGACACCCCTGTAAAGACAAAATACACACATACATTGTAATTTGAAGATATTCAATAGAGAATACAACATAGTGTATTCCTTATCACCAAAGGTACCAAAAATAATAATAATTGTAAGTTCATCATTGTCCTAACCTGGTATTTAAGTTTTCAACAGAAGTGTAACTAAACTTGAAGCTAAACTTGAAGTACATTGTTACAAAGAATAGAAACAGAAAAGAAACTTTGCCTAGTCAGGTAATACCGGTACATCAAGTAAAACAGTAATTCCTTGTAATAGTTAAGTACCATATTTCTAGATAACAAAAAAACTACAATCATTGGACTTAATATGCCCTAGAAAATAAGCCATACTCACTGGAGTGAGAGAATGATTGAAGCTCCTGACAGAAAGACCATGGGAAGCAGGCAGTAGCCTAGGATACTGGCCACAGTCCACACACTGACTCCTGTTAGACTCATCATGTTCAATAGGCACCACAACGACACACAGCCGATCCCACCAATACCATAGATGTAGCCAAAATGAACCTTTCCTCCCTGAAATAGAAAATATTCCATATTTAACACATTGTTAAACATTGTACGATAACCAAATAGTGGATGGCTACTATGCTAATATTTGCAAGTTTCTGTAATCATGACAATAATTTTATTGCACAAAAATTGCACAGTATGGCATCTAGTGGTATACAACTACAATTTTATCATAGCATGATAAGGAAGGTGCTTACCAGTAAGAGACAAGACCCAAACATGAGACAGAACACCAGAGGGCCTGCCAGGTCACCGTCCCCAAGTATGGAGGCATCTGTTTCTTTTGTGGGGTTCAGAACTGTCATTGTCTGGGAGGAAAATGTTTGAATGGTGAGAAGATTTCAATAGTACATGTTTATAAATGTTACAGGTATCCAATGTGAGGTATTAACATTAAAATAACCACATCAGATTTGAAAGGTAAGCATACTGACACAAGTACTGAAGTGATATACGTGTAGTACTTTTGGCAATTCTATCCTTTTGTAAAGGACAAAATATGAATATGTGTCTGTATGGTAGTATGCAAGGAGATATGCTTAGATTAAGAAATTGGTATGGACTTCTTACCTTCTGTGTTATGTGATCAAAGTTGATTCCTAGTTCTGAAACAGAAAACATAAGTCGTACAAAAACTTTCAATGTGGTCAATCTTACAGATCTTATACAAGGGGAGATATGCCTCTTCATTGAACTACAAGTAAAAAACGTTTCCTCCTTTTTCCTCAGAAATGCTTTCATACACAAACCAAATCACTTTACCCCAGTTTCTACAAGCAAAGAGAAACATCTTTTCCCCAAATCCACAATGGATGAATGAAGTGAATGTTAGTGGGACAAAACTGAACACAGGCTCACAGCCAGCAAAAATTGTGCCTCAGAGGTTTTAGTGTGTAGGGACACCACCAACCACAACACACCAGTACTGCACCCCTACCTTCCAATAGCGGTGGTTCATCTTCAAAACTGGTGTGGCCTGTGAGTACAAAATGGGCGTGTGTGTGCTGTCGAGAACCCTATTTATATGTA